ACTCACACGACGACATGAAGAAGAAAGAAACTCACCTAGCTCAGTGCGAGCAGTGCAAGAGAGAAGGTGGTGGGGTTAGCTTGCACGGCGACGAGGTGCTGCGATTCAAGCCTGCGCCTATCGTCACGACTTCACCCAGAGGTAGCTCCGATGGTTTTTCGTCGCCCGAACCAAAGTCGCCTTTATCCGAGGCCTTCGTTACTGTTCAGTCACCTGCGGCCACACAAGTCTACAAAGCAACGCTTTCGATTACCGGCATGACATGCAGCTCATGCGTCTCTGCCATTACCCACGCGGTCCAGGAACAGCCATGGGTTCAGTCAGTCAATGTCAATCTCTTGACTAACAGCGGAGTGATAGTCTTCAGTGGCAAAGAGAAGTGCGAGGAGCTTGTCGAGACGATCGAAGATTGTGGGTTTGATGTCGCAGTGGAGAAGCTCGAGGAGGTGCAGACTATATCGCCCGGAGCTGTAGCCGCATCGAAGCAACAGAGCGAAAGGTGGCGCGCAACATATTCCCTCGGAGGTCTGACGTGCTCCGCCTGTGTCGGGAACGTCAACCAAGCGCTACGGCCCCTCACCTGGATCGAGAAGGTCGATATCAATCTTATCTCGAACAGTGCGACCATCATCTTCAGAGGCAAGGAACATCTGCCAGAGATCAAAGAAAGTATCGAGGACGTAGGATACACTGCCACTCTCGATCGAGTTGTTCAAGAAGGGACCACAGTGACCGACACCATCGAGCGTTCCGTCGCGATTCGCATAGATGGTATGTTCTGCCAACACTGCCCCGACAACATTACCCAAGGATCGGAAGAAGCGTTTGAGAACGAGCGCAGTTTTGTTGTCGACTGTCCATCAATATCGCTCGAGCAGCCCATTATGCATGTCAGATATGTACCGGACCCTCCTCGCTTCACGATCCGAAAGATCTTTTCAACGATCGAGAGCCTCAACCCAGCGTTCCAGCCTTCGGTCTTCCACCCTCCGACACTGGAAGAGCGCGCGCGCGAGATGCATGCGGAAGAAAGGAAACGTATCCTGATCCGCCTCATTCTATGTATCGTCGTTGCGATTCCCACGTTTATCCTAGGAATTGTCTTCATGAGCTTGATTAGCTCCAAAGACCCCATACGCACATACTTCATGGGCAAGATGTGGGCCGGCAACGTCACTCGATTAAGCTGGGCACTATTCTTCCTCGCTACGCCTATCTACTTCCTCGCCGCTGATACATTCCATCGGCGTGCACTGAAAGAGCTGAGATCCATGTGGCGACCAGGAAGCCGGACCCCTTATCTGCACCGCTTTACCCGTTTCGGCAGCATGAACATGCTCATCTCACTCGGTACGACAATCGCATACCTGGCATCAATCGTAGAGCTCATCCTGGCTGCCACGAAGAAGTCTTCTGGTTCCATGAACGACTCTTACTTTGATGCAGTAGTCTTCCTGACGATGTTCTTACTCATCGGCCGTTTCTTGGAAGCTTATAGCAAAGCCAAGACTGGCGATGCTGTCACCTCGCTTGGGAAGCTTCGACCAAACGAGGCTGTTCTTGTCGACGCAGAAAAAGGCGACACCAAGATCGCGACTGATCTTCTCGAAATCGGTGATGTCGTTCGAGTCCACAATGGCACTTCTCCACCGTTCGATGGAGATATTATCGAAGGCAGCACTAACTTTGATGAGTCTAGCTTGACTGGCGAGTCGCGTCCGGTAAAGAAGACCGAGGGTGATACTGTGTTCTCCGGTACAGTGAATAAAGGTTCACCCGTCAAGATCAAGGTTACGACAGTATCGGGTACTTCAATGCTGGATCAGATCATCCATGCTGTGCGTGAAGGGCAGTCACATCGCGCACCGGTCGAACGCGTCGCTGATACTATCACTTCGCATTTTGTACCTTTTGTCATCGCCGTTGCCATCGTCACCTGGCTTACCTGGCTCATCCTTGGTACTACTGGTGCAATACCGAACGATTGGAAGAATGAATCTGCTGGCGGTTGGGAGCTTTGGTCTCTTCGATTTGCCATTGCCGTCTTCGTCATCGCTTGTCCTTGCGGTATCGGACTAGCCGCACCCACTGCGCTCTTTGTGGGAGGTGGACTGGCCGCCAAACACGGTATCCTGGTCCGCGGTGGTGGTGAAGCTTTCCAAGAAGCCAGTTCACTCGACTGCATCGTCTTTGACAAGACTGGCACCTTGACACAGGGTGGAGATCCAGCAGTAACGAACCACAAGTTCTCCAACGACTTGAACGCTGCACTTGTGTTGGGCATCGTCAAGGCGTTGGAAGAGAACAGCAATCATCCTATCGCTCGAGCGCTAGTCTCCTTCTGTAACAAGGAGACTCACAACACACCTACAGCAGTCAACGTGGACGAGGTGCCTGGCAAAGGTTTAAAAGGTACTTTCAGGGTTGATGGACACGACATTATCGCGATCATTGGTAATGAAAGCTTCATGACTGACCACAACGTTCCTATCCTAGCCGACGATGCGTCATCACTGCAGAAGTGGAAGTCGCAGGGAGATTCGGTCGCTTTAGTCGCCTTGTTCCTACCGCAAAATGGCGAGCAAGGTGCGGCAGAGCAGTCCGAGCCATCCAACACGTCGGAGGCTCTGTCACTCGCCGTCACAGAAATTCAGCCTGCGTCATCCTGGCGACTCGCATGTACCTTCTCCATTGCCGATCCGCTCCGCCCCGAGGCACCAGGTGTCATATCAGCCCTACAAGAACGTGGCGTAGACGTTTGGATGCTGTCTGGTGACAACCCAACTACAGCCAACGCTGTAGGCGCGCAAGTCGGGATCCCGACGTCCAACATCATCGCCGGCGTGCTCCCAGACCAGAAGGCCGAGAAGATTAAGTACCTTCAGCAAACCCTCACCAAGCCGCACAAGTCTGTATTCAACATCCCTTTCCTATCCCGAAGAAACAACAAGCAGAAACGCGCTACTGTTGCTATGGTAGGTGACGGCATCAACGACGCACCCGCTCTTTCCACCGCCGACCTCAGCATAGCAATCGGCTCTGGTTCCGACATCGCCCTCTCATCTTCCTCCTTCATCCTGATCAACTCCCGCCTAACAACCATCCTCACGCTCCTCGACCTCTCCCGCGTAGTCTTTCGTCGCGTATACTTCAACTTCGGCTGGGCACTCATCTACAATCTCGTCGCCATGCCCATCGCCGCAGGTGTCTTGTTCCCCATCACCACCGGCGGTAAACAGATGGACATGCACCACAACGGCGTCGGTATGGAAGGCGGTATGGCGATGGAGGATACGGGGAGGAAGCATATTAGACTTGATCCTGTTTGGGCTAGTTTGGCCATGGCTTTGAGTAGTGTATCCGTGGTTTGTAGCAGTTTGGCGCTGAGGAGTAGGGTGCCTGGTGTGGGGTTCAGGGTTAAAGCAAGCAAGGAGGGGAGGGAGGGCACGGTGGATGGTGTAGGGAAGCAGAGGGTGGGGGACCAGGAGATGGTTTAGTGCGTAATTACGTAGATGGTGGTGTGGTGTGGTAATGGTGTCCCTATTCCGATAAATCCTCTAATAACTATTCAACATCCTCGATCATACTGCCTTCCAACTTCTCCCAACTCCATTGCTACTCTTCCGCCGAATCCGGCAATCCTCTATCCTTAATTTCGAGACTCAAGTTCTTGTCTATCACCTTCCACCCCTCTCCCGCCTTGTACTTGGTCCGTCTTCCAACACTAATCTCCACATCCTCTTCACCCGTCTTATGCATTGGGTAAGCCGTGTTCCATCGCATCCCAGCTAGAAAACAGTGCTCGTAATCCCAATAGCTCTCGAGAAAAGGGGAGGCCTTGTAGTACCAAGGTTCTTCCTGGCTCTCTCGATTTTCTTGTGGTGGTACTCTAGGGTACCAAAATTGCCCCGTCGCAGCCTTATACCAGAAGTGAGGATCGGGTATTATGATTGGAAGAGATATCTCTTCAATGTTGTACTCATCCTCGTCATCGGCATCGTACGCTATGTCTGGTATCTCCTCCCTTTTTGCGACTTTGGCAACACGTCTCTGTTCATGTTCTTGTTCGTCTTTGTCTTCGTTTTTGACATTGTCTTTGTCTTCGCTCGGCGAGCGTTTCCGCTTTGGGGCAATATTGTAGGAGCGGATTGGCGTGGCGAAGAGGAGGGATGGGGAGACGGGGGAGTTCTCGCGGACTTGTCGTACTTTAACTTCCCAAGCGCATTTTGAGCGTGGGCTTGGAATTGGGTTGTTGGCGGATGAGGGGAAGGTGGGCGCTTGCTTTGGTGCCATTTTTGTGGTGGTTTGTGTGGGTGAATGAGAGGGGATGATGGGAGGGTTGTTGAATGGATTGGATGGGCTTTATAGAAATGCTGGTGTTGAGGGAGTCATCATGTAAAAGGTATGTGAGTTTTTTGCTTGAAAAACCGTGACTGTGCCTATAATTTGTTTGGTTCATTACTCTTAAAGGACGGAGAACCAGTCTGGGGGCTACCTGGTGACCGGAGATTTCTGTATAAGCCTGAGCGGGATGCATGTCGTCCAAGCAGTATACAATAGGAATGCGCTGAATGGATAGGTTGGAGCTGACAAATGTGGGATGTGGAGCCGTCGAAAGAGTTGGGCGACCGCATAGGCGCCCGGGTGTGGTATTGCAAAGCTTTCTACCATGGATATCAATGTAGTAGTCAGCAAAGGTCGCGCACAATATGGTGGACGAAATCTGTGTCGCACATGGATTTCAATTATTCTGAACCAATTTTCACACTCAAGCGGGAATTTGAAGCCACTGTTAGCATGTACCAGGGTCTCAAACGACTGCGCGTGTATGAAGATTATAGGTCTTATGAGTGAAGTGTGATGTGTTCGAAGATATCGCGTATTGATTCTAACGGATGTATAAAACAAAGAGGTAATGCGAAGCTTTTCGCAAGTCTTGCTGTGTGCTGGTGAAGCAAGATGCAGGAAACATCCCTAGGTCATACCACCTCGTCCTTCCTTTAGTCTTGCGACCACCTCATCGGGTTGGCGCGAACACCCTTGGCACCAGACGCCGAGGCAACAGCGCCCCTGCTGGTCTTCTTCACCTCAGCTCGTCGAACATGCGCTCCCTGTCGCTTCCTGTTGTCCCTCTCGATTTTCTTCATCAGATCAGGGGTGATCATGATCGGCTTGCGGGGCTCGCGGCTGCGTGTGGCTTTTGCCGGCTTGGGTGACGTGGAGTCGTCAACTTTGGCGGCTTCGACGATTCGCGATGCATCTGTCAACGAGACTGTTGCTTCCTCAGAAACTGCCTCGAGATAGAATCTTGCGAAGGCAGGGGCGGAAGCCGAGCGGCGGACGGACGTAGGTGCGGGTGCAGGTGTGGACCGCGCAACAGGCCTCAAGAAAGGAGTGGGTTCGACCTTCGTCGGGGCTTCGATTTCCTCCTCATTGACACTAGAGGAAGCAATCACGATGATGGACGACGCTTGGGCAGGGGCAGCTTCAGCGACAAACTCCTCAGACTTCTTTCCGCATGTCGAACACTCTGACTGTTCTTGTGTATTGTGGGAGGAGACAAGTTTACGAACGAAGCTGAACCAGCGCCGAACAGACGACTTGTCTTTCGGTTGGACGCGGGTGGAGGCCTTCAGATCGTCTTCGTTGGTGGTAGTACTGCTGATGGTACTTGCGCTGAGTCGCACAGGGTCGGCGCGGGTGGTGGTAAGAGAAGCCATAGCTAGTGATGGGAGCAAGATGGACAGAGAAAATGTAGTACGTGTCTGAGGAGAGTTATACAGAAGAAATTTCTAGGCGCACAGCTAATTTGTGGATGATACCGCTCCTTACGCTGCCGCCTTTCGGATGGTCACGCTGCACTAAGTGATGACTGAAACCATCAGGCTCGTAGGCTGCGAATACATCATACGTAAAATGAAATTGTAGTAGAGCACCTACTATTGGCTGTACCGGATCTACATCGTGGTATACCGAACTTTGAGTTCGCCAAGGTCAGGCGACAGTGATCGTGGGAGACGGCCCAGGGTATGAAAAGGATCCAGAGCCAAGGCGCACCGATTGAACGCAACCATAAATCTATGAGTCGTGAGCATTAGGTAGAGAGAGGCAAGTGCATGTGGAAGGCACAAAACACGGCCAGTGACCTGATCGCTGCGAATGACTGCGATCGAATACCAAACCAGTTCAAGACAACTCTGTGGGCCGAACAAGATCAGATGGTTAAAAAGTGGTATTCCCTGAATGATCCTATAGCGCCAGCCCAATGCCCATATTCTTATACACCAATATACAAGGTCATGTATTTCGCTACTTGCGCGCTTCGACTGCCTGCTGGAGTGCTTGGGTGGTGCCCAGTGGCTGTTCGGTTCGGTCTAGAGGCTTGTCCGGTACGATGACATCCTCGAACTCATCCTGTGAGATGGCATTGATGGTGTATGTGTCTATACGATATTAGTCATTGCTCTAGGCAGAGAGGGCGTGTACCTTACAGATGCCAATAACTAGGGTGCAGATAGCGAAGCCGGTGATTGTGTTTTTGATCAGGTACGGCGCGCGGGTTCGCAGCAGGGCCGGCGATGCCCGCATGCGGTCGTCATAGTAGGTCGAGCGGAAGGGTTTGCTGTCGACGTTAGCATACACCCTCGATGTACATGCGCAATGCAACTTACTATCCCATGTTGGCGTGCGGAGACTCTCACTGCTTTTGCGGGGAATCGCCAGTGTCTCGCCGCGGTGGTGAACTTCCACCACGCTAGGCGGTCTTGGCGGCCAGGCGTAGATCATCATGGCACTGCCGCGAACACTCCGCGTCACTCACCTCACCCGCAGCTGTAGTCAACAACACCAGTCGCGCAATCCCCCTTCCCTTCTCCACGCTCTCTACGCCTCTTTAATTATTAGCTTTGCTGGGAATGGGAGCACCCTTGACGTCGGATCCCGGGCTTTGTCGCGTTCTTAGTCTGACTGCCGTGCGCGCGTGAGGCAGCGTCACTTCTCTTCACCCTTTCGAAGAAACAAAGCTCGTCTCGTGTGCACTCGCCATCAGCCATCGCCATGAGTTCGCAAACGATACAGCAGATGGAGTCCGCCCGGTCGCTCGCGTTAGGCGACGGTAGATACTATCCTACCATCATACCGGGCGTGCTCCCCATCATCGGCTACAGTGAAGACCAGAGCATCGAGATACAGCGCTGGGGTGCCGACTTTCTGGCCGAGGCTTTTGCGTCGCCAACATGGCCTCAAGACGTCAAGCAGAACAGCGCGCCCTCTGTGCTGGCTACCCTGAAAGCCTACCTCGACAATGTTGAAGACAAGAGCGTCATCAAGAGCGCCATCCAGGCGGCCGCCAGCGTGTACCCGCTCGTTTACAAACACATGTAAGTGACATCCCAGGCATCAGATAGAAGTCCCCATGTCAAATATGCCATGCGCATCTTGAGGTCCCCTTGCCAGATGCCTATGATTGCAGTCACGCGAACACGTTCTTATACTTGCATGTGTCAGTGTCTCCGACGCCAGCGACGCCCAGAAATGGCAGCTCATGGCCGGCATCAAGTCCAACATTTTGCGCCGAATGGACGCAGCCGCGCCCGGTGTGCGAATATGTTGCGTCAAGTTCCTCCAGCAAGTCGTCCTGGTACAGACACCAGGCGTTACGGACCCTAGGGTAAATACCACACTCTACCCAATGTATACACAGCCGTCTGATCCTTCGCAGCGCGCCGACCCGAACGACATCTCCCTCTCTCTCGTATCCCGCGACCACCCCCTCATACCCTACGCGAGCCTCGAGGCTGAAGGACACGGGCTGTTGGACAGGTTGCTGGATATCATACACGGAGATCACAGGTTAGATAGACAGTCGCAGACTGCTGAAATGCCTCTAACAGAGACTAGTGACGGCTTGCTTGTGACTGCAACACTCAACAGCTTGGGCATGCTAATTCACCGCCGCCCAAATGTTGGAAATAAGATCCTGAACAGTGTCTTCAATTTCAACCCTCTCAAGCTCGCCAATTCGCCGATGACGCCCAAGAACAAGGTCATCATGAAGTCGATTGAGCGCACAACAAGGGCACTGCTTGTAAACGTCATAAAGAGGTATGTCTGCCTTGCTATATGATAGTGCTGCTGATGCTCATAAACGTAGAAACTCCCCAGATAACCCCATCAACGGACGGATACAGCAGTTCCTCGAACGCATGCATCGTACACGGGTTGAAGTGTTCGATGAATCTAACCGTAAACGTCCAGCGCCGGTTGAGCCTACTGATGGTCTTGACCCGGCAAAGAGGCAACGGTTGGTTGCTGAGCCTCCAAGTCGCACGCCATCCGTCCAGCCACTACCCCCTGGTGAAGTGAGCTGGCGACAACTATACACATTGAATGCTGAGGGCAGCACTGCGAACTTTGATGTACAAAACTTCAGAGATCCCGAGCAATTGCTGAGGATAGTCGTGCCTGTTCTGCAGTCAGTGAATCCGCAAAAGCTCGAGCAAGCGATCAACGTATGTGATGTTCCCTGTCCAATCCCCAGACCCTACGTTCGCCTATACGTTCCAGGCCTTATTGGAGGTGTCAGTGGTGGCCCTGCTAACATCATCTAGGCCGTCCGCGTTCGTTATCAGACACTCAAACAGACCGCACCAAGTCGCCCCGTACAGCCCCCACCAACCGCCGCCGCAGAAGACGAAGAGGAATACGAGCCCGACTTCGAGCCCGAAGACGCTGAACAACTCATCAACAAGCTCGATGGCATCCCCTCGAATCCCTTCGCCTCACAAGGCGGACCGTCATCCGCGTTAGCACCCTACAAGCTGCCCGAGGCACCTCCGTTATCAGAACAGGATGTTCAGAAGTACGGTGACATGACCGTACATCGAGCCTTCGGCATGCTGAGCAGTGTAGATGAGACACAGAAGAGCAAAGTCGCTAAAGGCGGCTTCAACCGACTTGCGGCCACCGATTACAACAGAGACGCCTGGGTCACTATACTCTCTCGGCTAGCTACACGAGCCAGCGCTGGCCTAGACGACCCGGAAGAAGGCATCAAAGATGAATACGCCATCAAGAACGCCAAGGGCAACATGCACATCAGCGATGCGGTAAGAGATGGCCTCTATCAGTACATACTGTACAACTGGAAGTCTCGCATCGACGTCGCCATCTCCTGGCTCAACGAAGAATGGTATAACGACATGGTCCTGGCCGAGTCCGCCGAAGACACCGCTACAAACGGTTCGTCCAACCACCACACATCGCCGAAACCACCAGGGAACTACCACCGCTGCGCCCTCCGCCTCATCGACGGTATCCTACCATACATCGAACACACCGACAAAATCATCATCCGCTTCCTCTCCGAGATCCCCGCCATCGACTACAGCATCCTTGTACGCCTCAAGAAGATGGCCGAAGACCCCGAGCGCATCGACTTGGCGTGTAACACACTCCACTATTTGTACATGTTCCGTCCTCCTGTCCGCAAGATCGTCGTCGATATCCTGGCAGAGATGTGGACGGAGAACGAGAGGGCGAAACCTAGTGCACAAAAATTGCTAGTTAGGTGGAGGCCTGAGGTGCTTGGTGAGGGTAGGAGCGTCAGTATGCCTACTATGGTTAAGAACGAGAGTAGTGCGGGGGCCGGTGGGGATGCGCAGATGGTCAAGGAGAGTGCTAATGGCGCTTTGGAGGTTAAGGCTGTTTCGTAGATGAGAAGGTGAGGAGAGAGGAGATTGGGGTAGGACGAAGGAAGAAACATGCTGTGGGTTTGGATTCGAGGCGTTCGTTTCATCATATGTATACCTATCGGGTTCATTCAGAGGTCCGTGTTACGATAGGAAGTAGGGATGCACCACAGTAAGATAGGAGAAAATGACGTGGGAAAGCGAAGGGGTCGGAACCGAGAGGTTATGCGTGGTTCCACGAAGATACAGTGCAGCCAATGTACAACATTCCAATTTGTTCAAAACACGAATCTGCGTTCATCCATTGGCACTTTTACTTTACGTCGTAGTGATCGTTTCTATGCTAATACATCTCCATCGAAATCACATCATCCTCTCTAACAAACACATACACCATCTACTCAATCTTCATCTTCTGAAACTGCTCAATACTCGCCTCCCAATTCCTCGCCTCCAACTCCGCAGTCCTCAGCTTCTCCTTCTCCTGCTCCTTAACCGCATCACTAACCTTCTGCTCCCACTCATCATCCATAATCTTCTTCTGGCGCGTAATCGTCTCGTTCGCCTTAACGAGGCGGTCCTGAGCCTTGGTAATCTCTTTGTCGAGCTCAATGCGGCCCTTGACGTCGAGGTACGCGGTGGCGGAGGTGCCGATTGTGTAGACGGCGCAGCCGGAGGGGATGAAGTCGGTGGGAGATAGGATTTTGATGTCTGCGACGGTTTTGCCGGCGAGGGAGCGGATGGAGGGGAGGGAAGTGGGTGTTGAGAGGGTGGCGTGTGTGGCGTCGTCCAGGGACTTGATGTAGGTGGATGCGCCTTCCTTGATGGCGTATTCGGCGGTCAGGGAACGGAGACCCTTTGCGCTGTCGACGAGGAGCTCGTATTCGGCGTTTGCGGTCTCGTCTTCGAATTCTGGCTTGTATTGGGGGAAGGGCGCGATGGTGATGGAGGGGGTGGAGTCGCCTTGGCGGCGGGGGAGACGCTGCCATAGCTCCTCGGTGAGGAAGGGCATGAAGGGGTGGATCATGTTC